CAAACTAAGATAGAACTTTGTTCTTTCATTTTTCTACCTAAGCATGGTGATAGGAACGAGACAGCTTCCATAGAGATTAGGGCAAATATATATTTTACCTTATCACCACAAAACAACACAACCCAAATACATAAAGATAAACACATCCAATTCGAGAGTTATTATTTATATCCCACAATAATAACTAATAAATAACTAAATTGCTCTTTTCATCTCATGCTTAACATAAGTCTTCAAACTATTTTGGCGAGCTCGGTGTCGACTTGGAAGAGCACGAGGCGAACTATGTTGTAAGTAGTGATCTAACATTACTCTCCTCCCAAAAGTCATCATGTCCTCAAGAGACAAGAGAGGAAATTTCTCCTGGATTAAGTCACATGGCTCCAGCTCATAAACTGACTTGAGTCTGGCTCTCACCATCAACACTTGACTGAAATAAGCGACGACTCATTGATATTACATGAAAATTGCACCTAATTCATAGCCTGAGGCATCCATCTCTACAATGAATGGTTAAAATGATGGCAGAAATCAGGTACTGCCATCACTGGTAGGATTTTCGAAAAAATTCGTTGTTCATGAACAGTTCAAGAGCTCATATTAGATTCATTCGTCAAGTAAGCAAGCCAAACACAATGTTTTTGAACTCAATTTACAAAACGAGTCGAACTCGAAAATAGATTTGTTCGTTCATGTTCGGTTTGTTTTGGCTCGAAATAATTAAATAGCTAAATAATAATAATTATTATTATTATATATTTATTTACATTAATTAAATATTGTATTTAAAAAATAATAAATTTTATTATTTTAAAATATTATTTTGGTGATATAATTATAAAAAATTTTAATTTTAGAAGTTAAATATGTAAATACATAGGATTTGATGGTATGCACATAAATGCTACTAAGATCCCGCCCCACTTTTAGGTGTTAGGAATGTAAATACATACCATTTAGCTAGTATGCATGTAAAGTCTACTAAAAAATTTAATTGGTTCAACTGTCCAAGAGCGAAGCGTAAGTGAGATTGTGGGAATGGAATGATGGGGCGTTGTTTAGTCCAACATCAAAAAGTTTGGAATATGACTGTGAGAAAAGCTCTATAGAAACCAATAGGCCTCTTCAATGCAACAAAAAAAATGAACTGTTTATCAAGATGGTGGAAGTATAAAGGTTCAATAGAATAAATTATTTTATTAGTTTAATAATAATAAAATAATTAATAATATTTTTTAGCTTTATTAAATGATTAAGTTAAATTCGAGCCGAGTTGAATGCAAGTTTTTTTCTAACAAATAAATTTGAATTGAGCTGAACACAAATAGGTTGGCACGAGCTATTTCGGACACGAGCCGACACGAACAAAAAAAAATAAACAAGCAAAAAACAAACAAGTTTTTTGGCTCACTCATGTTTGGCTCGTTTACATCCCAAATCATCAGTACACTCATCATGGTTTGCTTTAACTTCTCAAAAATTTGGATCCCAGCTCCCCCCCCCCCCCCGCCCCCCCCCCCCCAAGTGAAAGTTATTCTTCTCTAATTACACCGTCAACGATCACACAATCAAACAGTAACCCTCCACGAACTTCTGAAAGTATATTGTACATCTCAGAAATCCTCTCAACTTCTTCAATGTCTTAGGTATTGGGAAATCTAACGCAGTCGCCTTCTTCAATGCTTTTGCCAAAACCACGAGTAATGTTAACACCTTCAAATGGTCAATGTGATCATCAAAGGAATGATTGGATAACATCTCAAATTTCTCACTATAATCCATGACGGACCCTTCCACGACTAATACAAAAAACTACTCGTGTAAATCCCCTTCCCATGTGTTTCAAAAGCGCTCCAACAATCAGTCTTTCAATTATTCTCATATTCTGATTGGCTGATGATGTTTTCTCCAATGACACCACGCTACAGCCTTCTCTTACAAACACATAGCCACCGCCATCAATTTTTCTTCCTCCATCTGCTTATTAATTACAAAGTATCTCTCCACATAATAAACCCAACCAATAAACATGCTCTCCTTCAAAGATCAGGATCTTTAGCTTCTTTCTGTGTGAGTCACCTCCCTAATTTCCTCGATCGAAGCCCATTCCACCCATGAAGCGAGGGTTGAATTCCCTTCTTAGACCTATATTGATTTTCCTTCTTCCATAAGTATGGCTTACCCCATAATCAGCTCGCCCGTTCCCATAGGCTTCTGAATCTTCTTCCCCTCGGAAGGTTGTCGCAGGCACTGGCGCAGTTTGATGCATCCCTTCGCTGGGGTTCCACCTACCATGGTTCCCTATTCTAGGTTAAAATACTTCAAATCAATCTTCTCTAGCCACAAATCACATGTCATCCTGTTTTGTCTGTCGTTGCTCGTTCCAAACCTCCATATGTGTAATTCCCTCTATATATTATCACTCAAATACGCTCTCGACTCTTTCGCTCGACCTCACATGCTTTCATTTATTCAAGCCATCTGGATGTCACATTTTCCCTTCAAAGTGGTGCCATTAAGGTCTGCTCTTGAATCTTTCACTCGATCCTGCCGCTTCAGATACACCTACAGCAATGACTCTGCTCTAATATCATGACCCGACCTGAGACTTGAAATTAACCAAGATCACAACAGAGAGCAGGATGGTGAGAATTAAATTTTCAATATTCATTCTCTGTAAATAAAGTTTTACAAATAAAAAAGTCATTGACCAAATTAATTTAAAGCAATATATTTAAATTTACCTCGGTATTAATTGTCCACATCTTCTATAACGTTTTTTTCCTTCTATCGTTCTTATTTTAATCAATTAACTAAATCTGAAAAGTTACTTTAAAAATAATAATGAGCTACATAATTCAGCGAATATTCATACCCCAAAATTACAGTAATACAAGAGAAAAGAAAAACAACACACATGTAAGTTCAGCTTTTAATAAATCAATATTATACATTAGATGTTATTCAATGAATCTTACTATATTAATAACATATTTATATTATTCTATATTTACACAATCATTACAGAAACACCGTCTAAGAATTGTACAACTTAAGATATTTTAATATCAATATCATTTTCCATTTACATGCACAGGTTGATGCGGGCGCTTGGAACAACACTAGAATTTGAGCATAGAACAGCACCCCGAAGGGGGCGCTTCAAAACCGCGGGGGTCAAAGCCCCTCGAAACTACGCGAAGTAATCAAGGAACCACAATCTCGAGAAGGTGGGAGAACCAGCGACAGGGGGATCGATCATGAATTCTCGCGATCCAGTTGAGCTATTCGAATAAGATCTTTTGTGGGAAGTGTCTTTTCCACCTCTTTCATCTTGTGTAGAAGTAGGAAAATTATTCTATCAGGACTCTGAATGTAGAGAGTCATTCGGAGTCCAATGCGATGGAGACACGTGGCAACTTGGACCCACCAAAAAAAAAACAAACAAACACGCGCGCAGCTGCCCCGCCCGGTCCGACCCAAAGCCAATTCGCAAAAAGGTTTTCGGCGTATCGCCTGGCTATTTTTCTTTCTCGCACCCAGCTGAGCACCTACTGTTCCATTGGTTTAGGGTTTAGACCTTCGATGGAGACCTTGCCGAACGACAAAATGCTGGATACAATGCAGCCTGCATTTTCTCTGAACTTCGAAGAGAAAGTGAGTTTTTAAAGGGTTTAGGTTTATGTTATCTCACGGTTGCATTATTGTTGTTAAATTTGTGTGATAATGGTGTTATTTTGATAATGCATGGTTTTTTTTTATTTGGTATGTTTACAATGAAGCTAGATTTTACTTTTGTTCCGGTGCTGTTTAGGGGTTTTAGTTTAGTGTTACTCTTATGCAAGCTTGCTAGGTGTTTCTTTTATCCCGGGAATTCCAAAAAACGGTCTTCATTACTCTTTGGCGGGGAATTAATGGATTCCATTCAAGCAACAGGCTTAATTGGAATCTAATAATGCCTTATTAAATTTAATTAAGGAGAGTTTATGCAAAATAATTTTAAATTTGAAATTTCATATTATAAATTGGTTGTCAGCCCGACCCGACATAATTGGGCTGTGTTTAGCTCTAATCGAACCCAGGTTAAGCCTAAACTCACCTACTTTAATTAAATTTAATATGCATTGATTTTCGTGCAGCTAGTGGCGAGAACCATAGTAATATGGGTGTCTTTCATAACTAAAGTCGACGTTCGGACGTGTTAGCATGGTCCGTTTCGTCATCCGTGGTCATCCAAATGAGTTTGTCGACATTCGGGCAAAAAATGTGTCAACTTCGGTTTTTTTTAAATTTTAGCTTGCGACGGATCATTTTGAAAATTGATTTTAGTGGTACGATGCATGCAAGCCTTAGCGACGTGACTTGTGATGTTTATGTGCGTCGAATGTGTGAATTGTGGTGTTTGCCCGTGGTGTAAGTGCATAAATATATGTGTGTGAAAGTCGAAAGAGGTATTCCTAAGGCCTCCTGATCCTATAGAGACTTATTTTTTGACCCTCCGCATATTGGTCCTTAGCCCTCGTAACTAAAAGTTGAGTGTTTGGAACCAATCACGTGAGGTTCTCACAAAAATGAGTCAAGAAGTGGTTTAAAATTCTATGTGAGGTGGACTCCATTACTAGTCCGCTAGGATGGTCAATAAGAAACTCTTGAAGCTAGATCCTAGGTAATAAGAGAAGGAAACCAAAATCTTAAAAAAAATGAGGTCAACAACCACTTAGACACATTTTGCAAGAAAAAAAAAACAAAAAGCAAAAGGCAACCCATAACAAAAAGACGACGGCATCAGAAACTTTTAGAGGAACTTGGCAACCAAAACTTTGTTGTAAGCAAACAGTGGATAGTTATAGCACAAAAGAACAAGAAAGTACAAAAAGGACAGAAAAAAAGAAATAATACTCTAATTTTTATGTGCAAAGAACTAAAAAAACTTCTAAAGATTTTATATAAGTTTCACCTTTAACAAACATACTCCTATTAACTAGCAACCAGAAACTTACTTTTCTCTGACATAGATCCCATCCTGCAATAATAGCTGCAAAAATAAAAAAGGAATAGATGATTACGTGTAAATACATTAATTAGGGGAAATCAATAATCAAACAGTTCAATCAAACATAAATTTTGGTTAGAAAATTTTATTGACCAAAAGGAAGTATTGAGATAAGAGTTAAAACATGTAGGATTAAAGCAGTACCCACTACTGCAAGAAACTTTTCTAATTGTACTTGGGCAAAAATATCCAGGAGGGCAGAATATTTCACTGCTACTTCCAACATCTGCCCATCTATCCGCACCACCACAGCTATGGTTTGTCTGCCCAGGAGGCGGCTGATAATTGTATCTGAAAAAAAATTGTCAAATATTTTTTTCAACAAGAGAGAAAAACAATACCAACAGCAGCAGAAAGAAACGTAAGCTTACGGATCACAAACTCCAGTAGATGCATTCAAATTGGCACGCGGACAATATGCGCCTAACGGACAGGCTTCATTGAATTCAAAAGAAAAAAAAAAATTATAACGTGTCAACAAATTTACCCAGAATTGATTACTTGGTGTTAGCTATTGGGTAACCAAAACAGCAATAAAAATCAAAGATGCAACAAAGAAGACCACAGTATTCTTCAAGTTAAATAGCTAAAAACATAGGTTGCCATGCATGATTTTGGCTACAAATGTTTAAATTTATGCTTCAGATGAGAAGCCCAAAATTGATGATAGCTAGCCCAGTTACCCAAAAACTGAGCATATGCCTAAAATGGTAGCAATCAATTTCTTTATAGTGGTCAGATTGCTATACTTTTTGTTGTTGAATTCATCACATGATAGAGACCAATCATACATGCATCTAAATATGTTAAGGGTTACCCTGAACCAGAAAAATTCATAATATAAAATACTCCTTCCAATGAAAGCATCAAGTTTTATAGTGCATCTATTTGCAATTAGTGTTGCAAGTAGATAAAAACTCAAAATACTATTACTCTATTCCTCTTTACAACATTCAGATAAATAGTACCAGATCTCCTGTTAGCAAACTATGACAGCAATCAATTAGACTTGCTCCTGAATTCCATAGTTTTGGATATTTAAAATCCTGAAGATAGCTCCAAGATCTAAAATGAATGCATTAATCATTTTCAGAGTATATTCGTCAACAACAAACCCTTACTGGTAAAGCTATGTCATTATTTGCTATGAAGCCATTGAATAGAATCGCCTTAATTAAGGGAGGGATACCTATCAGCTACAATTCATTCAAAATCCAACCAAAAGCTATACAAATCAAAAAATTCAAACAATGGGGATGAGATAGTGTACTTTAAAACAACACCCAGGCCCGATTCAATCTATCTCATGAAACAAATCAAGTTCAAGGTTAATCGACCATTAAAAGTGAGCAACTCTTGAACAAGAGGTGCACGCTAATTGGTTGTAATAAAATAAATTTATTTTTATGTAATAATTAAAATTAATTAAATAATAATAATAACTAATAATACATGAAAATAAAATCAAACTTTGGATGAACAGATGGGTAAGACATTAAAGATATATATTTTATTAAACAAGAGGTGCACGCTAATTTACAGTTTTCTTGGTCAAGTTATTTTTTCTGGTCAACTCCGGGAAATTATTTTATCAAAGATTTTAAAAATTGCATTATATATATTATTATGTATTGATATAAATAGATTTACTTAGTTTAAATATAATAAGGATGAATTCAGAAATTACGTACTTAAATGGAGAAGAAATTAGAAAGTAAAAGGTGTGCTAAGGTAAAAAAAGTGGTAGAAAAATCTAGATTTAAATTTTTCTCAACATATAATATATAATATAAGTAGAATATATAGGATTAAATAAAATTCAGCAAATTTTAAAAGAAATGATAGGTTAACTTATAATTGAAATGCTAAGATATTTTTAAAATATTTAATATTATAAAAACCTGAAACTTTAATCTGCTAAATTTAACAAATAATAGGTAAATAACATTATAAAAATTAGTTATAGGTTCTAAAAAAAACCTAGTTATAGATTAAATTCACATATGTAATAATCAAATTAATTACTAATAAGAAAAACTTATTAAAGGATGATATTATAGCAGTTAATCGAATACAATATTTTATTATAGGTATATCAAGAAAAATAACTTGACCAGGAAAAGACATCCGACTATTATGAACAGATGCGTAAATATATTATTATTTTACATTAATTATTTTTATTTTTGGAGAAAACAGAAATAATTTTTAATTGAACTTCTATATACAATTGAAAATGATTTAATTTTATTTAGTAATTTTTTTTAAAATGTAAAATTTATATTTCTTGTATGGTTAAACTAATTAAGACAATTATTTAACTGTAAAAACAACATGACATGTCTTCATATACATACATATATACATATATGTTAAATCTTGAAATCGCCCCAGTATGACACTAGATGGGGAAACAACATACAAATAAAATAAAAATGAATACCTCCCTTTTTTATGTGGTTTTAAAAAATGTTATAAAAATATATATTTTTAGAATACACATATAGATGATGACTACTAACATTGTCATTGCCGGGTCACAAGCATCGGATGCAAAAACTGAAGGGTGTGTTAGGTAGTCGACAGTTTGCTTAAAATCTGTCAAAAAATTATGACATGAATCCTTTAAATTTTTATGTAAATGTTAGGGTGTCCCCTAGAAGCGATGAGTTGTATGGCTTGATTACAGTAAAAAGTTTGCAATCGCTACACTAGCGCCCAGGTGTAGTGTTAAATAAGTAAGGGTTCCCATATTGCAGAAATATGTGGGTAAAGAAGTTAGTCTATAAAATTAATATTTGGATAAAATCTTAGAATATATGTATAATAACAAGTAAATTAATGAAATTAGTTGATATTATGGTTCATAGGAAAATAAATATCATATGTAGTCAGGAAACCAAATGGGTTGGAGAAAAGGCTAAGGAGATTGATAATTTAGGTTTCAAAGTTCGGTATAAAGGTAAGAGGCAAACTAGAAATTGTGTAGCTGTAATTATAGATAAGAGTTTGAAAGATAATATTGTAAAAATAAATAGAGTTACAGATAGAATCATTGCCCTTAAGATTATTGTTAATACTAATATTTTAAATATTATAAGTATTTATGCTCCCAATTAGGTTTAGATATAGGTTCGAAAGATAAATTTTGGAATGACTTAGAAAATTTAATACAAATGATACCTCTTGAAGAAAGAATTTGTACTGGAGGAGATTTAAATGGACATGTCGGTAGAGTGGAAGAAGACTTTAGATATATTCATGGTGGCTGCAGTTTTGGAATGATTAATGAAGAAGATAGAGTTATACTAGATTTTGATTTAGCGTATGATTTTGTTATTGCTAATAATTTATTCAACAAAAGAGATAAACATATTATTACTTATAAAAATGGATCTAATAAAACACAAATTGATTTTCTTATGAGTTCAAGAGATCGTCGAGAATGTAAAGATTGTAAGGTCATTCCTAGTGAGGATTTAAGCACTCAATATTGTTTATTAGTTCTAGATTTTAAGATGTAGAGTTGTAAAATAAAAAATACTAGAAATCATCCTCGTAGAATTAGATAAATGTACCATAAAGACAAATAAAATCATTTTTACGAGCAAAATTCAAGATTTCAAAATTTATGATGTTTATAAAGAAGCAAATTCTATGTGAGGTAAAGTAAAAAAACTATTAAACAAATGACAAAAGTTGTACTTGGAGAATCAAAAGAAAAAGTTTTTATAAATAAAAGTAGTTGGTGATGGAATAATAATGTGCAAGAAAAAATAAAATATAAAAGTTATGTTATAAAAATTGTTTTAAATATAAAAGCTTAGAGAACTAGGAAAAATATCAAACGGCTCGTATGGAGTCTAAGAGAGTAATTTGTGACGCTAAAAATTATTTTTTTAGTGATCATTATAATAGATTAGATACTAAGGAAGGTGAAAATATATGTATAAACTGGCCAAACAAAAAGAAATGATGTACGTATAATTATAAATAAGAATTTGAAAGATAATGTAGTAAAATTTAATAGAATTTGAGATTCCCCTAAAGATTGTTGTTAATATTAAGATTTTTAATGTTATAAGTGTTTATGCTCCTCAAATACGTTTAGATATATGTTCAAAAGAAAATTTCTGGAATGACCTAAAATATTAATGCAAATGATACCTCTTGAAGAAAGGAAGAACCATATTAAATTTTTTTTTAGCGTATGATCTTATTTTTGTTAATATTTTATTTAAAAAAAGAGATGAACATATTACTATTTATAAAAATGAATCAAATAAAACACAAATTGTATATTTTTTTATGAGAAAAAGAGATCGTCGAGAGTGCAAATATTGTAGGGTCATTTCACATGAAAATTTAAGTACCTAACATCGAGTATGAGTTTTGGATTTTAAGATAAAGAGTTGTGATATAAAAAATACAAGAAAAAAATGTCATAGAATTAGATGAGGCACCTAAAAGACATGAATAAAATTATTTTTATGAGTAAATTTCAGGATTTCAAAATTTGGGATGTTCGTAAAGAAACAAATTTTATGTGAAAAAAGTAACAAGAAAAGATAAAATATAAGTGGCAACAGATGTACTTGAAGAATCAGAAAGAAAATTTTTTATAAATAAAAATAGTTAGTGGTAGAATAATAATGTGCAAAAAAAATAAAATATAAGAAGTGTTATAAAAAATAGTTTAAATATAAAAGCTTTAAAAATTGAAAAAAAAAATAGAATGTGACATGCAGGAAGTCTAAGAAAATAATTTGTGATGTTAAAAGTTATACTTTTAGTGAAATTTATAATAGATTAAATACTAAATATAATGAAAAATATATGTATAAACTAGTCAAACAAAGAGATGAAAAGTAAAGATTTAATTCAAGTCTATTAAAGATGAAAATTAAAAAGTGCTTTTATTATAGAAAGATATTAAAAATAAATAGGGAGCTATTTTGATAAAATTTTCAATAAAGTTTCTGGAAAGATGATCGGCCTTGGTGATCTTAACATCATTACTAATAATAAAACATTTTTTTTAGCGTCATATTAGTAAAAAAGAAGTTGATGAGGCTATAAAGAAAACCAAGAGCGAAAAACTAGTAGAATCTAATGATATCCTAATTAAAGTGTGAAATACTTAAGAGATTTGGGAGTTTCTCGGTTTACAAAACTCTTTAATATTATTTTTAAAAATAAAAAGATGAATGAGATGTGGAGAAAGAGTATTTTGGTCTCATTTTTAAAAATAAAGGAGATGCACAAGAGTGCACAAATTATGGAGGAATTAAGTTGATGTGTCATACTTATAAAATTTTGAGACTCCTCCAAACAATTCTCAACGTCATAACGAATAGAATTATAGGATTCTAGAAAAACGGAATAATAAGTTTAAGCATAGAAGCAAAATAAAAAATAAACTACAAAAACACACA